AATGTTACACTACAGAAAGATTCGTAAAAATATCAATTTACCCACGATTTGACCCAAAAATATCGATTTATATTGATTTAAATAAATCAATATTTTCTCTGGTCCCTGCACATGTTACAATATATAAAAATCAACAATTAGATAGCAAACCGAAATTCATGTTGATTGGTCACATGACAATCTTCGATCTACAAAAATGGCCAATCAAATTGTGCCAAATTTGCCGAAAATGCAATTCTTGAGCAACTTCGCTCATATAACAATAATTGTAACACATTAAGTTTTAACTATCATTGTTTAACTACAAACTTTCCAAGTATTTTTTATTATATTTGAAAACTTGGAATCGAATGTGATCGAATGTTCTGCCAAGTTTTCATAGTACTAACTTTTTAATTTTTTTTTACATTTACCAATTGTTAACAGCATTAAGTGCCACTAAAAAAGCGTCAGGGTTTTCCCTTCTCACTTCCTCTGCTGGATCATCTTCCTGATCAGGTTCTTCTGCATTTTTTTCTTGGGTTTTTTCTTTGGTGAGAGTGTTAGGACCTTTTTCCAATCATTTTATAAAACTTTCAACATTATAGTAAATTTCTTTTTTGTAATATTCTCTACAGTAGCAGTAGCAATATTTTATTATTGAATAACAGCTATGATGATAGCCATGCCCACAAACTAGGACTTTACCATCATCCAAAAATTTATAGCAATGATCAAATTGGATTCTGGAAGAAAATTTGAACTATAGCCTGTAAGTGGGGTTTGTTGGTGAAATTTAGATGTTAGAAAAAATTTTTGTTAAAAAAAAAAATTTTTTTATAATTTAATAAAATAAGGTTCAGATTATAAGAAAAAATCTTATTAATTTTTTAGTTTTGTTGTTTGATGTAGTGAATTGACTTGGCAAAAAAATTATTGATCGATAATTGACCCAAAAAAAATTTCTTAATCAATCAAAAATCAAGGATACATGCTTGATCGAGTATGATCGATCAATAATTTATAAGCTTGAATGAATATAATTAATAATCAATTATATTATATTGATTGACCTATTGTTGCTCGAGCCTATTAATTGGTGCTCAATTATTTTGATCTAAATCGATTAAGAGTATAATATAATCAAGTCAATTCACTAGTTTGATGAGCCACATTGCAACTTCATCATAGTATCCAAATAACAAAAATTTATGTAAATTATCTTAAGATCTCTTGCAATATAGGTGATATCATTCTAAATTAATTGATCAATAATACTTTTTTATTAATGATGTCATCTATACTGCAAGAGATCCTTATCATGTATTCAAAGTTATGATTATATTAACCAAAAATTATGCTTATTTTTATAACTTTACCTGCAGGTAGATATTTTGCATCTATGGTTTCATCCATAGTAGCCAAATAGTATTCTGAATTTTTTTTTTTGATTTTGCTTTTTCCACGATTTTTAAAAATTTTTTGTATATGATTAAGAAGAAAAAGCCCAGTTTTTTCTGTTAAAAAGCTTAATTTAGATGGTGTGTAAGGATATCGTTTAGTTTTAATAAAGGCGTCTTGAAATTTTTCATTATTCTGCATATCTATATTGTAATTTTAATTAGTGTTTTGAATAAATAAATACTGTAATTAAAGTGCATACCAATTACATAAGCCTGTTTTATGATATTTTCTGCCGTTAAATTCGAAGAAGTTTGTGCACAGATTTTACTATGAAAATTCTCAACATAGTACTCATTGAAATTTACTAAAAAAAGTTTAATTGCTTCAAAAAATGGATGGTTAGTATCTTGCCAATAAAAGATATCAGATAGAAATGCAAGTAGTGCTTTATTATAATTATGTTGTTACCAACGTAACATAAATATCCAAATATGAAATATCACCTTTATATATTCATTAAATGCACCAGATCGAAAAAGAATAGTATATACTTCTAATACAGTTGGAACTAAATTATCTAAGAGATCAAAAATCATGCAGTATTCAAGATCTTTACAATTTAATCCAAATTTTGCTATGATTTTTTCTTTAATTTTACACCAACTACTATATGCTAATTCTAATAGTAAGTTAATTCACCATGGTTTGGGTTGTTTAGCTAACTTTTTTTTTTTGCCAAAAACAAAATGAAATAATTTTTTAAAGAAAGAATAATATATAAGTATAATATGTTCTCAGCTATTCAAAGAAACATGTAATGGTCCTAGTAGTGGAATAAATGAACTAATCTCATAAGAAATATTAAAAGATAAATTATTTAAATTTGTAATTGCTTTGCGAATAAAAAGCTGGCCAGGCCAGTTTGCTACGATAGGTGCTACAAAATTACGTAAATGCCCAATATTCTTATTAATTTTTAATATCATTTGAAGTGTATTAATGTAATCATCCATTGTGTATAAGCTTTGTTTTTGAAATCCAACTAATCGCATATCTTTAGTAGATCATTTCTCTTTTCGTTCATTTATTGTATTGTCGTAAACATAAACTGTTAATAACTCAATCTTATTACAATTAACTTCTAGCTTCCCAAATGTGGTCCATTGTAACTTTCATGTTTTGTAAGAAATATCAAAGACTCCATTATATTGATGTAATAACCTAAAACAAATATTGCTTGCATCAATGTTTAGTGGATTGTGAATATTTTTATTATTAAAAATAAGAGGAATCAATGCACATAACTTGACTGATTTGCAAATACATGTTGCAAAATGTGAGGGTGTTGTTAATGTTGTTGCATTGGGACATCTTTCTTCATAAATGTTATAATAGTCGTCCAAATTGTAAATATATAAAATATCCTAAATTAAAGAATATTTAAATTATACTGTAAAAAAAATTTTAAATAAAAAAAAGCAATTTGAAATAAAAAAAAAATTACATTATTTTTTGTAAGAAAATTTCGAATATTTTGAAAATGATCTTGAACAAGTTTTTTTTTGTAATTATTAATTGTTTTACTATGTACAGAAACACCCAAATTGTGCAATGTATCAATAGCTGCAGATGAAGTTCCAGATGCTAAAAGATACAAGCCAATCTCTAGTTTAAAACTATTAACAAACATGTTTCTTGCATTAGCCATCATATAGCAAAAACTAACTACGGTTTTTCTTGCTTCTAATTTTTTATATGTAGATCTTTCATCAGGAATTAATGCTTTAATCATTTGATCAAAAAGCCCACACAAGCGTAAATCAGCATTCTCTATCATTAGTTGAAAACGAACAGGGCTAAGTTTAATAAAACCAGGCTTTTCACATTGATATTTGTAAAGAACTTTTGTAAGTATTTGAATCTGATCTGCAAATGTAAGACCATTATTCTGTGTGTTGCAATTATTGTCAATGTTTGCTTCAAGCATCTGAGTATTACAATCTGTAACTATAATGTTCGCTTGTTCAACCAAAGGCTTTTTTTTTAAATGACGATCTGGCTTTACAATGTCTAAATAATGACTATAACATATTTCTTGCCTGATTTCTAAATAATCATATTGCTTCAATGTTCCTTTTGTTTGTGCTTTTTTGTATGCAATTAAAGTAATTTTTCGAAATATAGTAGAGTTTCTACTACAATTTTGTATGGAACAGGGGCTCTCATTTTTTTTCATAGTAGTAAGGAAAGATAGATAGCAACAGCAATACAAAAAACACAGCAACAGGCAATATTGCCAATACAAATAACAGGTGTATTTTATACATACAGATGATATATATTTTATTATATTTTGGCTAATCAGAATTTTCTAATTACAGTTAGTTAAAATAAATTTTCGGGTAAATACTTTCTCATAGTAAAATCATGAGAAGAAAAAAAAAATCTATCATTTTTGAATGCCTTTAACACAATTCTATTTTGGTAACAATGGTTAACTCGATTTGTATTAGAGTGTCTACGGTACTGTTGTGTATAATTTTGCTTACACTAAAATTTTTTTTTTACATATAAGAACAATATAAAAAATCATTTTTAACGAGAGCAAAATTATGCACTGCAGTACCCATGGATGCACTAATTTGTATCGGTGCTTATTCCTTTTAGTATCAACTCCATTTCGATGACAATATCAAACTTGATATAACTTGATTATTTCGCCATTACATCAAATTATTGGCATTATTATTACGTATTACTCATTGTATGCGTATAACTTATAATCATAAGATAGAAATGTAGAATAACGTAATATACATTTTGACTTGCAAAATAAAGTTAAAAATAAGCGAAAGTGACAAGTTTAATAAAAAAACAAAACAAAAAACAATCGATAAAATAATATATCACATTTAACGCTAAAGGTTAATATTATAACATGATTTCTGCGGCATGTCATGGGACTAAATTGACCAATCAGAATAAAATGTCAATCATTGTCGATCATTCTAATTACAGCCAATTAAAATGAATTTCCGTCTTGCTAGAGTGTATTGACTAATTTTTTAAAAGTTCGCGAGTTATAAAATTTTGTCCGGGATTATATCCGGGGGTATATTAACAACCAATCAAAACGAACTTCTGCTATGCTACATTACAGCGCAAAAGGCATGATTATATATTTGCAATAGTTTAAGTATTTTCTTTGGAAGATTAAAATTGCAATATCTATCTAGTTTACAAAAATTCCATATTAGTTTCTAATAATTCAAATTGTTTTTTGCTCGTTTTTATCACCTTGTTTCCAACTTTTCGCATCATTTATACCAACATTACCCGCTAAATAAGTAAAATCCATCTCAACATCCTGTGGTTTACCTAACGATAATGTTTTTACGCGACAGATTAGTGGGATTGGTTTCCGTTACACTATTCATAAACGCTACAGTTTAGGAAAAAATTCAGCTAGCCGGGATAAGAGATATTTTTATCAACAAGAAAATATACAGCACAATGATGTTAACTAATCAGAAATGGATCAGTTATTTGAAAACTAAATCTGCGATATTTAAACTTGTATATCCAGGTTAGTGAATCATGAAATCAACAAAATCTGTTTAACCAGATTCTGAGAGAATATTCCAATTATCTCAAGAAAAAGAACATAGAACGACAATAATACAATAACGATAATACAAATATTGTTTGACTCTAAAGTTCATTGATAGTACTTTAATGATTTTGGCTTGAGTATCAATACCACTGTCATTAATACATATCTATTTTAGTATAATATAATTAATCAGAGTTCTGATATTGAATTTAAGAAGCGAGTTTTTAACCGTACAAGCATACCATGAATTTGAATAAGTTGTTTAAAGCACATGATGAGTTAGACTATGAAATTTCTATTTTAGATCTATACTAGATCGAAGAGTCGCAGAGCCACGACCTTTCGATATTGCGCCCCAAGAGTTTCTATTTATGATTTACCCGTAAAGTCTATATATGAAAAAAGAATATCGTTAAAAAGTGAAACGTTTTACATGGCTTTTCTTGAATTCTAAATATCAAGCCTCAAATCATGTTTCATTAAATATATAGTATTGAATAATCATTTTTTTTTATGTGAAAAAGGAATGCTAATTTATAAATATTCTTCCTAACGTACGTACGTACTTACAAATGATAATTACACGTAACAACATGGCCTCAAATAAAATTCAACCACCACCAAACGTTTACATATCGAACGACGTAACTGATGAAGGGCTTAATGATTCGTTACCAAGTCCATATATTCGATCACCTATTGATGGTTCTTTTCAATCATATAATCTTCCTGAAAGTTCCTACGTAAAGCCTCATAAGAATTTGACATTTTCATATGTACCTTATTTTAATACTTTACAACATGGCACTCTTGGAAGAAGTGATAGTTTTCTTATGGGTACACTTCATTTAAATTACGAGAAATACCAACAAGTAAAAAGTATTGATTTAAATTTTAAAGGGTATGAAAGAACTTCTTGGACTAAAACTCAAGGGAGAACAAAATTTGTCTATTCTGGTGAACATATTATCACGGATAGACATTATAGAATTTGGTCATCACCTACTAAAGATGAAACAGAAATTCTTAATCTTGATGTTCCATTTAGAGTTAAGCTTCCTTATGATCTTCCAGATACATTGAAAACTCATCTTGGAGAAGTTTACTATGTTCTTCGTGCAACTATTAATCTCAAAGGAATTTTGATCACATCAACAGCTCATACAGTAGAAATCCATTGTCCTTTGAAACGAACTCTGTTGTTAGACAGTGATAATAGTAAACTTTATAAATTCCATGGAGAATCAGAGAGTATCACTTATGCTTTTGTTTTGCCCCCAGCAAAGTATGTAAATATTGGAGTTTATATATCTATTCCAATGCGAATTCGATTCTTGAGACCTGGAATTAGTATTGAAAGAATAGAACTTGCTATTAAGACAAATATGAGATTTCTATGTAGTACTAATAATACATGTAGAGTTTCTAAGAGATCAGGAGAAGCAATTATATCGCGTCAAGAACTTCAATATTTAAAACCTATTCCCAATAATGTTAAAGGGGATTGTATTAAAACAATCAATTTTTGGATTCCTCGTGAAACTTTACCAACATATTATGGTCGTTATATTACAATTTCACACGTACTTTGTATTAAAATTATTTTATTAGGTATTGAAAGAACAGTTCATATTGAAGAAAGTATAAATATTGCAAATATTCAAAAAAGTTTTGATGTGGAATTACCACCACCACCAGCTCCACCAAGATTTTTAAATCCTAAAGCGTTTTCACTTTACCTTACAACATGTGGTGATAGAATTAAATACCTTGTACAAAACTCGATTGATTCTGATTCGATTAGTTTTGAAGATCGAGATATTGAAGCAGCAGCAGCAATTGTTACTCAACTTTATCAATCTCATATTAATAAACGGACACAATCTTTATCGGATGAAATATCATCACCTTATCTTTATGATGGGTAATAGATTATTTATAAATTAAGTGCATAATAGTTTTATTTTATTACAGTATACTGTATCTTTAAGTACATTTTTTCGTCCTAAATTTAAATATATTTTTAATTTTATAGATCTATGATATCAAAGTTTCCACCCATCACGATAAATACATTATTCACAGGATTGTTATCTCACTGTCATTAGATCTTAAAAAATTGAAATTAGTATTATATTATTTATATTATATATTTTTCTATTGTAATTTTGATACTTTATTTGAATATAAGAGCTAAAATATATGTCTGTGCGCATACACAATTTATTGCTCTAACACAAAAATGTATTTCGAAAATAGGTGGGAGTTTAAAAGATCATATTTTCTGGTTTAAAATTCCAAATCAGAAATTTCTTTTGATAAATACCTATTGGTAAGCGATTGTGTAAATAAATATATACTTGACCTGTACGTCACTTATTTTACCTGAAATCGGACGTGAATTGTGTGAATAAAAAATTTTATTAATGTTAAAAAAGTATATAACAAAATTCGAGATCGCTCTAAAGCACAATCATATTCTGAATTAGAGTTGGGTAACGAAACCTTTTTTGCCAAATCCGAAAGTTTCGGGTTTCGGATTATAGTTATCGAAACCCCATCCGAAACCCCAAAACTGTTAATTAATAGTTATCAGGGAGTGTTCATTGATCATGTTACTCATATTAATTATGTAAATTATTGTCATTTCATAAAGTTTAGTTTATTGATTA